TGTTTTCATCCAGTAGTGCTTGTGTTTTGTCATTAAAAAAAAACAGTCAAATAATCTTTCAAGTCATAGATAAGTTTTTGGAGAGTAGAATGAATGAAAAATGTTTTGTAATGAGCATGGTTTTTAAAGAAAAACGAAAGTTATGTCAAGCGACACACTCCTCTGAATGGTCAACCTACACATCGAATTGAGAATGGGAATGGATATGGACGTTTGTTACTGAACTTTTCAACAATTTCAGTAGATCGAAATGAAAACATAAATACATATGGAGTATTTTTATATAAATATCTTGAAAAGATACCTGGCTCAGATAAGAGGAAGAATTCATTTAAAGCAGAATCGATTTGTGAAAAGAAAATGTTCATAGTTGGAAGATATGTTTCATATTATTTCAAATTTTGATTTTGAGTCTAGTGTTTCATACTATGATATTACGAGATGTAGTTATATGAAAAATCTAGAAAATATAAAATATTCGCAGCAGCCTTACGAAAACCAGGCTACCAAACGCGGACTGCGATTTCAAGAATTGCATTTACCGGATACTTTGCGAGTGCGGAATCATACATCGGTGAAACTAAGAGGCCATGGAAAGTTCGCATTGCTGAGCACAAGAAACACAGCGAGGAGAAACCAGCAAATCCTCACTTATTTGAATTAATGAATCGAAGAGGTTTTGTATTAAAGTGTATAATATTTTAAAATTCTTGCAAAGCGCTTTCGACTTTCGTCATCATCAGGTGACTGAAGAGTACAAAGAAGAGTCCAGCAAACATCATGTTAGGGAAATCCATAGTTCACAGATTTGATCTGTTGAGAGCCATAGTAAACTAACAGAGAAGTGATGATCCGAGACTCCAATACAAGTTATGAAGGAAATTGAGAGATCAAGTTATATATGCACCCTTCAAGGATCATAAATGAATTGGAAAAGGCATTGCAACCAGATCATGAGTAGTAGACCATTGGAACAAATGAAGTAAATGAAAGTGGATCTGGAGGGTGCCTATGGTAACAACATTCAAAATTACTTCTGGAGAATCGTAGTAACGAATCAGAAACTAATATTCTAAACACATATTACAGGTCAGCAATGATATTTATTTTTGTGATAACCAATCATATGCTACCTTCTTATTTCGAAGAATTTATCATTTATAGAAATTCTACTCACAATTACACTACTAGACAAAATGACAATTTTCACCTGCCATGATGTAGTTTTATCAAACTCCATGAAAATTTTATTATATAAAGGTCTCATTGAATATAACAAACTTCCCCAAAATGTGAAGAATAATAAAAACCTGTTTCAATTCAAAAAAGATTTTATTGATTATATGAAAGGTATCACAATAGAATAGTATTAGTATTATATCCTCACTATGTGTGTCTATATAACATGAAATATTATGTGTATATTATGTTTGTGTATTAGGATCTTCCTACCAATAAATCATTCATTCATTCATTCATTCATTCATACACTTTATTGGGCGTGACGTCATGTAGAACAAGCTCTACATTGCAAGGAATTCGAACGTTACAATATATTTTTTATGGATATCAACGGATCTACTGTGGAAGTGTTGACAAGAATTACTAACAATATTTACATTCTTAATATTTTCTATCAATACTTTCATTTTGGTCGAACAATTTTCTATTGTGAGTTGGCAAATATTAACCCAATAGTTCATACATATTATTTTTATAGTGTTCTATTGGTTTATTGACACATGAATCACTGCTTTGTGAAATGAGGCTTTCATTATACTGGGGTATGTAACATATACCGAGTTCAAATATTTGTTGAAGATATTTTGACATCATCAAAAATTGAAAACCTTCTCAACATTCTGAAAAAAGAAGTGTTCAAGAACGAATTCAGTTCCAGATTGAGAGACGAATTTCTTTTCTATAAATTCAAGATCATCATGAAGTGAATTCTGTGCATCATTAAGACTTTATTTAGTATCGTCAGAATTAAACATGACATCTTGTTGTAGATCTCATATAACCCCTTCAATTCAAATTTAGATAATGAAGTTCATCTAAAATACTTTCTTGTAAAACTCCTTTTTTATAGTAAGAGATGCAAAATCTACATAAAAGAATGTTAAAAATGAATTGACATGTACTGTAATTGAGAATACTGGTTTATTCCACATACAAATAACTTCAATTATATTCTTGCTAGATATTATTTTTCCATAAATACATTACGATTCCACATTCGATTACTTTTTTTTTTCACATCTAGAAGCGTTTCCAGTTTGAATTCATTATTTTCTTAGAAATATTTCTTCATGAAAACCCTCATTAACTCAGTATGAAAATACAAACATTCACAAATTGAAAAAAAATTAATATTCTTGTCGGATCGACCCAAATCTTTGTTTTATTTCATGAAATGTAAAAATGAAAGCCGGTTCGTTGCGCTTTGGAATGATTTAATTTTGAATTTCAATTTTTGACTTTTTGCAAGAGTTTTGATGAGTTGTCTTCAAATGGTCATTTTATTAACCCTGACTTTTGTGATTATATATTCAATGGATGTTGTAGTTTCTTGATTTGCTACAAGTTATGATAATTTTATGATTTGTAACCTACACCTACCAAGCCAATAAGATAACTGTTGAAGTTTGTATCATATTGCTAGCTGAATGAATAAGTAATTAGAGTAAAAGAATAAGTAATATATGCAATAGTTCAACTATTTTGATAAAGTATTAATACTCAACACGCAATATTGTCTATTGTGTAATTCTAAAATGAAAATATGAGTCAAGTCACTGCAGTAAGTTTATTTGTCTCATGGTCTTGGGAAAACTCTCATTCATTGATTTCGTACTTGAATCTGTCAAAGATAATAAGATAATGAAAAATATACTTTCAGGATATTAACTAATGTGAGGAATATAATGAAAATTCACAGGCTTTTCGTGAACAAAAAATTATGAAACAGAGTGAATCGTTTCATAAAATAAACGAGAGGAAACCTAAAAATGCTGAATAAGTGGAGAGAGGAGGTGAAAGCTTTGAAGTTTTTCCCAAAACGTTCAGGAGTCTCATCGTTCCTTTGCTGTGCAACGTGTTTTTACACAAAATTTCAAGTGGAACCCAATCATATTTTCCCAGAGCCGTTGGGGGTGTTGATATTTTTTATCACTAGCCAATAGATGCCGCTGAAATCTGCATTCTGATAAAATATTGAACTTCATTGTTTTTCCACTGGACCTTTCATATGTGTGTGTTAAAGTACATTGAGGATGTATGTTTCAATTTGGAATTTATGAGAGGAGTCACTGCTATAATACTCGCATGTTTTAGCTTCATTTACCAAAATTTCCCTTTTCTGTTAGTAGTATCGAAGTACCTGAATTCATCATAATTTTATTGCTCGGAAATAAGAAAATGGGACTGAAAAACATGATACTATCGGAATAACATTTCAGACAGTTGCATTAGTATCATCAGCAGTATATTCAAGATATATATCATAGATTTTGAACCGATATCTCTGATGATCAAAAATGCTTTCAATATTTTAATAACCTTTCGAAACCTGAACATCTATCAACTTATTTCGTTCTGAAAAATGATTACATATGAAGTACCAAAGATATAGAAAACAATAATTTTTCATAATGAATTAGATATTTTGGAAGAGATCTGCTATGAAAAACGTATATTGTTCAACTACGTATATTTTCAAAAATCACACTGCACTGTTTGAAAGAGAATCGTTTTAAAAAGTTGAAAATTGAAATACAAATATTGTCCGAAATATTTTTTAACGGCGTAATACTTAGTTGATGAAATGTTACATGGTGAGTCTACAACTGGACACCATCACAAATGGAAACAGAAAATTAAAGGTTCAAAAAATTACCTATTTCATGAATTAATTATACGAAATTTAAATAATATTTAAGTTTCTCAATAAAAGACGGCTAAAGCTTTTCATTTTTTATGTTATTTGGAATGACTGTATTAGTAGTAGGTACCTGAATGGTTGAAAGTTCATTATTACGTTTGTCAAAGAATATTAGTATTTTCAGAGATGATAACTACATGGTTTAGTACCTTCCCAAACTATTGTCCTTTTGTCCCTTGTCTTTATCAAACAAATGAATCTGAAGCTGAATACCAAAGTTAGACTCCACTGAAAGCTATATCAACAATGAAAAGGTCAGCTGTATGTTATAAGGTGAAACTTGGTGAATATTTCTCATAGGAACATAATTTGGAATTATGTTCCTATGTTCAATTGCTTCTGAGAAGCAATTGAATGTGATTTTTCTATCAGGTTTGTGAAAGAAATATTTATTTTTTGTTCAGACTTGCGTGTGTGGGACAACTCTATGTGATTTTCAAAAACAAAGTTTGTTTGAATTGAAAGGGTATACCTTTCTCGATCAACACACTTGCAGTTTCCTCCTTTGTTTAAATAGGTAATATCAGTTGACTGGCCCTATGTGTTTTCTTATGCTTATACTTTTTTGATTCAAGTGTCTCAAAATGAACAATGAAATTTTTTGGTACTAGTTTCAATCAATCTCAATTAGGTTAACTGAGCAAGCCGTATAGTGGTTTGAAATAGATGAGAATACATTTAATTCAGGCTCTAATAATGCTATTTTGAGTAAATTCTTAATTTTAAAACTTCTTGGAAAAATTGCAAGTATTCTGACATACCAATAGTAAAATTATTCACACTTTTCAGGTTGATAAAATATTTGAGGACACTACACATTTATATATTTGTCTTACTTTTATAAAATGAGTGAGATTATGAAAGAACATACAAAGCAAGCGAGATGGCAGAAAAACAAGTGTCGTTTTTCATTGGAGTTGAAATATAAAGATAAAAGAGACAACGACAACTGAAGCGTTATGTGGTGTTTGTCTGCAGTTTGTTGCTGTGAAAAGCCAATATTTACAATTGGTCACCTTTATACTAGATAATTACAAAGTGAGTTTCTAAATCTTACCTTCCAAGATTTTCGTCATCCCCTGTATCATCTTTGTCCCATAAATGAATATATAGCTGCTGCCCATTTGATTCAAGTATTTGAAACTAATAAATAAAAAATAATAAAATAAATTCCTGAAACCTTCAGAAGCTGAAAATATAATTTTTATTTACATTCAATAATTACAGATGAACAAAGTGGAAATTGGACAGATATTAATTTAAGTAATCTTGCATTTTGTTGAAGCATTGTTATGAACTCTGGCCTATTTTTACCGTATTTGAGTGTGGGGTGTTGTGTCTCTAGAGTGTACAGTTATTTCATGCAAAGTGACAGTAATTATGGACAGATATAATTCAACTTACTTCGCACCAGTAATCCCATTTGGGATCAACACTATTATCGATAACCTTCGTTTTGTATTCTTGCGCTCCAACAGTTACAACAGCATAAGGATCAGATTTCCCTTTGCCTAGAATGCTAACATCTTTTTTCATCAAGTGTCTAGCTTCAAAGACGTGTACTCTCAGTACTCCCTGTAAAAGAGTTGACACATAATGCATCACAATCATTTGAAAGGTAGTTATTAATGATGTAACGGATTGTAACGAATCAAAACTATAACCGAGTTCTTGGTACGCTATGTTAATAAATACCCTAGTCACCTAGAAAATAAGCCACAATAAACCCTTATGGGTTGCGGTGGAGGGTCGAATAGACCCACTCACTTTAGACCTAGAGACCACCTAGAAAGTATCACGGTTATTTGCAGTTCCATCAACCATGTAACGGAACAGAGTCAATCTACATTCAACTAGATAAATTATTCGAGAAAAATATCTGGTCAAAGGCGGATTTAATGTTTTCAAAAATATTTGAAAACAATTGCTCTGTTAGGACCTAACCAGTGCGCCGTTTACGTTACACATTATATTATTATATTACACATTCGAATTCTGTCAAATATCAAACACTATTGAAAACTTTTTCACCGTTCGAAAGTTTAGAGGGGGGAGATTATTTACGTCCGCATTGTGTACTTATTTTGACAATCCAAATGTGTGAATGCGCGCGTGTGTAGTATGTGTTTGTTGTATATGCATTATATTTTTATATTAAATTATATTTTTGATATAATGAATCATTTATCGAACTTTGATAGTTATCTTAATTCTATGAAAATTGAACAAACAAGAATATTCTGATGCTAAAACCTATCGAAAACTGGTATAATAATTAAAAAGGATATTGGAGCGTATAACTGAAAAATTATAGGAGAAGAAAGGTTTTGGCTTCCTGCTTCTCCATCTTTATATAAAAAAATGTTTGGTTTTATGCTCTGAGAGAGAATATTCATTCCGATTTCTGAGACTTCCATCATGTTTATCACGTCTGTATGTGAACTTCTTTAGAATATTTTGAGGTTGTTGTTTCATTCTGTGGTTATGAACGAAGTTAGTCAGATGCGATTCTCTTTGAATTTTGAGCCAAAAATAGTTCTAGTACATGCATTTTGAACTTCTTGTATTTTTGATGACTTGATTTGATCGTGACATAGACGATATGGCAGTACTTGATTATGGATAAAATAAAAGTATCGCATAAAATGACTTTCATGCTTCGCTGGAGAAAATGTCTGTTCGAATAAAGTTTTTTAACAATCCATAAGCTTCACTATCAGTGAATTTATATGTGATTTTAAGTGTATTTTGTAATCAATATGATATCCCAATCATTCAATTTCATCGCTAAATTAAGTCTCGTGATTGTCGATCATAATTATGACACTGTCGATATTCAGAATTTTCTGATGCGGGTTGAATCACGGTGAATGTCACATTAGACGTTTCTGGTGAACCACATACCGGATCACTTTGAAAATACAAAAATACAAAACACAAGCACTAAACGAAAATCCTTAAGGTGCTCTGTGAGCGGTGCCTGTGCAAAAGTAGCGATTCACATTGGATTTGAATCGCTAGAGATCAAATCCATTTGGAAAAACGTTTTCAGGAAGTTTACTCCACATAAACGCAGTTCTATAAATGGAAGAGTTTTTAAACAGTGAAGTTCGAGATGTACTGAGTTGAACCTCAAAACGATGAGTAGCCACAGTCCGTCACGTATTTCTCACATGTACCGCTCTCGGTGGAATTAAATGTGCCAAGTCACTTGAACACTTTCCGTGAATGTATCTATAGAAGAGAGACAAATCTCCAACCTTTTTTTGATGTTCCAGATCCCAAGTGATGTTTGCGTCTCCAATCAGGCGGATTACTTTTCTGGGTGGAATCCAGCAGATTCAGGTTGTGGTTAGGGTAAACATGACATTTGCTCGATAGAGGCATCTAATGTAGTTGCATCTTTTTGAGACTCTAGATCCATACTGCTTTGCAAACTGTTACCAGATACTAGTAGTTTCAGCATCAATACAGTTATTGAATGTGAACTGACAAATCTGAGCGTAGTAACGATTCAGAATATACACACCACTTGATCTAATTGCGCATGCCTTACTAACTACAGTAATATGGGTTATATTCCTAACCAAGAAATGGATAAATGAATATAGTTATTTACCGAATATTCGCTGTTATACATAAAGTGGCACTGAATAAATAACTTCAAATTATGGAAAGCACTTCAAAGTCCTACTTGGAAATTCTTTGATATCAGATAACTCTGAATTACTCTCAAAAATTGGATAGTCAATTGGAGGATAATCGAAACGATCTACTCAATATTTGCCATTCACTTCTAGTGAAGCTTGTCCGAGGTATCAGGAATTGGCCGAAAACGATTATAGATAGTTTTGCACTGATTTCAAATTTAATTTCTTTTGACAACAAAAATCTGAGCCTATATTTAATATTCATCAAGAAACATTGCAACAAATATTTAAACAATCAATTGCCATCATGATCGGGAATGTGTTACTACACGTAGATGTTTTAAATTAAGAAAGCAGGTCTATAACTCACCTCTGGTTCAGTAGCTTTTAACTCAATTGCTTCAACTTCTTCACTGAGTTTGATGGGGAATTTGTTAGGTAGCACCATCATGGAAGCTACAGTTTCAACTACAATTCTTCTCAAAATATCACTGAAATATAAAATGTGGTTCATTTTTAGTGTTTCAATTTAATATTTGATAACAAAGTAGTTGAAATAAGTTCACGACAACTTAGAAGTGCAACTGCTAAAATTAAAAACAAATTAAGCAGTGACTTCAAACAGTGAAATAAACATACATCGACTTTTGTAATGTAAATTTGCTGAATACAACTCTGACTTCGCGAGGAAGTCAAATAAACGTTGACATCTTCAGTCGAAAAATGTATCGTCTTTGTTACGTTATTATTTAGTTAGTTATTTTTCTTTCAGGGATCGCCAATAAAACTGTATTTCAGTATAACAAAATTTTAATGATTTTTCCAAAATAACTTCTGACAGTCTTTTTTATAACAACTATATGGTGAGCAAAAAAATATAAAAACAAGCAACAAATGAATAATTAGAAAATCTGAATAACAAGTTTCAACATCCTCCCCACTGCTAGAGAAACTATTTTTCCTCTAGATCCAAAAAACAAATTTTTGTACACCTCACCAGTCTCAGTCATTTTGAAAAACGCTTTATGTCAGGAAGGAAGTAATCAATTTGAAAATAAGTAATTCTATACATGGATTTGTAGATCATGCAAAGAAGTAACTTTCAGACACAAACTGAAAGTCCTCCTGAAACAGCTACTTTCATATAAACATTGAATTACACGAAAGAAAAAAATTATTTCGAAACAAATACTTCTGTATTGGCAAGTGTCTTAAGGCGAAACATCGATGTATACCAGTGAGAGTGACAGTGTTCCATGTAAGTGCAATTTGTTACCATTCATTTAAAGTAGAACTCATGTGAATGATATCTGATTTTTATTCCACAACGAATGTTTGAAATACAAACTGAGTAGAGAAAAGTATCTTCTGTATTATTCAGTGTTCATATAGAAGTATTTGTCTCGAAAGAATTTTTTTCCTTCGTGTAATTCAATTATATGAAAGTAGCTGTTTCAGGAGGACTTTCTTTCAGTTTGTGTCTGAAAGGTACTTCTTTGCATGATCTACACAACCATGTATAGAGTTACTTATTTTCAAATTGATTACTTCCTTCCTTTCTTTGTAAGATTCCCTCATTCTTTTTTTTGTATCAAGATGGAGTAGTAGAAAGCCAAAAACTTTCCCAAAAATTAATCACTCCTAAAAATATAACCCCTTCAATTCAAAGACTACGTTTTCCAACTTGAGATCTTATTGTTGTTAATATCGGTTTGAACATGAATTTGAAAGAGTTTTTTATTTTTATCTAATATTATTTAACGTTGAAGTGTCAAGAAACGCAAGCAAAACACTCGAAACGCACCCAAAACGGTCGAAACGCACGATATGCTTTTTTCTTGACGTATTTTGAGACACACTGAAGGATCGCACGTTGAAGTGTTGAACTATCATGTTTCTTTCTTGAATGATGTATTTTAAGACACCTTGTATACATTGACGCCATGTTCTTTCTTGATGTATATTGAAACACACTATATATACTCCACTGAATACCCGCCGCCATGTTTTTTTCTATATTCTGATTTTTCATTCATCACTTTCGCGCTTCCAACCACGCTCTTATCTTTGAATCTTACTCATTCCATCCTTCTGTTTTATTCATCACTCTGAATCGATGATGACAGCCGACAAAACGACCGCCATAAATATCAACAATTCGCAATTACTTCCAATATTCCACGTTGGTGTCGAGGCTAAGGACAACGTCTAGGTACCATGCCGACGACCTGGGTTCAAATCTCACACCGATCGCTTTTTTTAATTCAATTTCCCTCAACTGCCGATGACCACTAAGACCATGTGACTGGTACGTGACGAGGGGGAAAAGGTTGAAGGCCTGAGAAGGCCTGAGTGGTGAAGCGGAGTCCCAAGCTCTTTGAATCTCTCCGATACTCATTCCATCCTTCTCTGCATCGATTACATCACACGTTTGTTTCTCTCTTCCACTCACTAAAGTCTCTCTCTGAAACACCAACGACGCGCGACCTTGAAGTGAGCTAGTACCCGCCTTGTTCATCTACTCTTTCAATAAAGTGTCATTCGACTATTATTTCCATTTGAAATTTTTGACATGATATATTTTTGGTGTGATGAAGGGGAGGCTGGTGTGATGAAGGGGAAACACAACCCCTTGTGTTTCCATGAAAACGAAAATTGAAGTTTTTCTCGTTTTTTTTCAACTAACGTCTAACTCATTTAATAATTTCCATTTCCTAATCCAACAAGCCTCCAGAGCGGCTTCATTGAGGGAGTATAACTCTTCCTCAGTAGTGCTTAAAGCTACAGTGCTCTGCTTTTTGCAACGCCAAATAACACTGTTGTCAAATACTTTAAATACATAACCAGTTGTAGATTTCCTGTCTTTATCTACAGCAAAACTTAGTTTGCATGGACTTCAGTTTTTCGGTTTTCCCAAATTTCCTAACAGCAAAAAGTCTTCATGCCTATCTTTGATTCCTAACAAAATAGTTTCACAAATTTAAATATAGTCTAAAGTTACAGCCAAATCAACTGAATACTATTTTCACTATTTTATTCAAGATACGTTCGCCGTGATTTTTGAATTGACATAATTTTTTATTCATGAGTCGATAAAAATGAATCAAACACTGAAGGTTAAATGAAGCTTACCATGATACGTTAATGAAAACCTTGCCCAAATCGGTTGTTCCCTGTATTAGATTGATTTCCTTCAATTATTATTGAATTTTCCAATTCTTGGTCTAGTTAAACTCAAATGATATTTAAACCAGTTGTACTCAATCACGTGAAATTTTTATAATGCCAAAGTATCCAGTACGACAGATCCAGACCGTCCTCATATAATTTTTGAAACTACCAACGTTGTCACAAACACTACGGCTCCAGGTGTTGTTTGAAGAGAAAATAGGTGAACGTTGACACTGAAGAATGTCACAGTAACCGTTTCGGTTACGAGTTCGGCTCGCCAATGAGTACCCGGCTTTCGTTTTCAATAAAGCTAAGGCAAGATAACCGTTTACTAAATATCTTATAACCCACTCATAAACGTGACTTCAATAGTTCATTACAATGTGGTACGGAAAAGGAAACACTGATGCAGATTTGGTGGTGTATGGTGAATATGCAAATGGGACGCCAAACGGCAATATAATGGGGTTTCCAAAGGTAATGAACCAACAACTACGAAAACATTCTCAGATTATTCTGAAAAAAAAAACTCAAAAGTTAAGTTGAAAGTAGAGGGCACATGGCATTTTCTGAAGAAGTTTTTCAATATTTTCAGATTCTCTGTCCAGGAATAGATTGTTCGAATGTAATTCTAGGACAGAAAGTTCTCAAGGTTAGTGGACTAAAAATATTTTTCATATTATTTCAGCGAGGTGAGACACTGGCACTCCATGGAAAAATCAAAAGGATTACCAAAGGATTATGGGAGCCCCGGAAATACATTACAGAAAATAATACTTCAGTATTATTTATGAGATTTTCACTAAACAGTTCACACAACCGCAACAGGTGTTTTACAATACAATAGCTTTTTCTAGCGTTTCAATATTGAATTTTTGAGTCTTTTCATATGAATACGTTTTTTAAAGTAATGCGCAGAAACCTTAAGAGGAGAAAGACAAAATTTCATTTATTTCTCTAGCGTAGTATTTCGTACAGTTAACTGAACTCTGTAGTTCTATTAAAAAAACTATTTAATTTTCCTGAACTTCCGGAGAATATTATTTATTGATGAATTTCGACCTCTTGTATTCATGAATTCACAGATGATTCCACCATATAAAATTCGAAATAATTTTCCTGAACATTTATCATCAGGTTATAAATTATGTTAATTCATGAACTTACCTCAGCCCAGGCATATCCAGAACATCTGCAATACCCACGAGATCAAAATCGATATCTGGATTATTCAAAAAGAATACTTGTATTCCTCCGACTAGAGGCATGGTAGAAATGAGAGGTTTCATAACAACCCTTAGCATACCATGTAGCTATAATAATGAAATACAAAACAATGGTGTATCCGACTACATATTTGCTATAACTCACCTGAAAATCTCGAATTCCTCCCTTCAGTCCAGATAAGTGAAAGGAAATATCACAATCCCCGGCATAACTGAAATGAATTATTTATTTTTATCACGTCATGGAAAGTTTATAAGATACTCACAATATATCGAGGTCCATAACAATTTCATTCCGATCAACATTTTTGTCGTACACTTTAACCCCACCTATACGGAACGGCTGTAAAATTAAAATGATTGACAACATCGAAAGAGCCATTTATTTAATCACCAAATTCTAGTCAGGTTGAATTATATTCTTTTTCTCGAGATATACAAACATATTTTGGAGAAATCGTTTTTTTTTTATGAAACTACCAACCATATTGTTCCAAGTAAATATCCATCAAATGCATATTCTCTCCTGAGAAAATGGTCGGTCATTCATGTATTATAAAATTACTTTCAACTTATGAGTGAACAGTAATTAAAGAAGAAAGTAATACAAATCATGAAATTATGAAACAACGAAATTAATTGGCGCTCCGGGGCGACTTCATTGATTCCAGTGGCGCATTTGCTTTTTCAGCTGCAGGAAAACCCGGAAAAACCTGCAGCACCACATCTGAATATCTTGATCTGCCAATGACCTCTCTCTCATAAAACAAAATGTACGGTGACTCCAGAGGCTCCAATAAATTCAAAACATCGCCAGAACACTTCGTGACACGACTATTGTTTATAATGATTTTTTTATCGAATAAACAATGAAAATTCAAATTAATTTTTTTTTCAGTTAAGACAAATTATGATTAAAAATGAATGGTTCCTCAATATTGATAACAAGTGTTAGAAAAAAAAATGATTAATTAACAATTTCGTTTGTGGGCAATTGAATTTTTTGTAATATACGATTTTTTATCTGTAGCAGTAGTACACTTTATTACACAAGGCAATTGAATGGGAGTTTTGATGAAAAATAAATCACGCATAAGCACTACTTATCTTGCATTTGACAGCTCAAACACATTTGGTGAATTTATATAGCGAATGGATCTCTTTTGTGCTCCATTTCATTATGAAGACATCTTGTTATACTCAGCACGTGAATATAAAAAATGATTTCCATTGTCATCTTCGACATACAACTCGAATATTTTCAGAGCATGTTCATTTCAATTTGACAATAATTCTTTTCGGAATTCATTTAAATAATGGATCGAGCAAGGGTGGCCTCATTTATGTTAAATTTGAGTGAATCTATATGTGATAAAAGATTGACGTTCAAAATGTGCAAAATGAATGAATCAAAGAAAAAAGATTATTGGTGATAATTCTATTGAAATTAAGTATATTTACCACTGTTCCGAGAATGATTCTTTCGAACTTGAAACCGTTCAATTTATATTTTTCCAAACTTTCTCTGAGGACAGGTTGAATGGTATCCCTTACGAGTTCTCTGGCAAAATGGTTTACGTTTGGCCAAACTTGTTTGATCACCTGCAAATATATAATTAATAAAAACTGGAATAGAACTTGTCTATGTGATGGAATTGACCGATACTTGATGAAAATCCATAACGTATTCAAGTAACGAATATTACTGGAGTTTTTTCCCAACACCAAATCGTTATTTTTAACACCTCGACACGTGTTTCGATCACCAAGTGATCATCTTCAAAGACGAAGATTGAACCTAGAAACTAACGCGAAGGTAACTCTATTTATGCTATACAGATATCCATACAGGTAAACCATCCAGGTGTACCACCCCATACAGGTATACCAACCTAAATTAATTTTACAATTTTTCCTTATCTATTATTTTACAATATATGTTTAACTGTTATAGCTGTACATAAAACAATTTTCAGCTATATAAAAATTAATTTCACATCTAAATTTATTTTTTGCAATGTGTCCTTATGTAGTAATCAGTAAACCCAACAATATAATTTAAACAAGCTATATAGCAACTGAAGACTTAATAGGAATATTTACGATAACAAAATTTGGAAAAACTGAATATCTTTTACAGCTCTTTAGAAACCAAATATCTGCTTGTATTAGCCTTATTTTAGTTGAATACTTACGATACAGATTCAGTTCCGTTGACCTGGCCGTCATTATGTACTTATGATGCACTGTTTGGAACCTTTGGTGTAGTAATGAATATTACTGGAGTTTTTTCCCAACACCAAATCGTTATTTTTAACACCTCGACACATGTTTCGATCACCAAGTGATAATCTTCAAAGAGGAAGATTAAAACTAGAAACTAACGCGAAGCTAACCCTATTTATGCTATATTGATATCCCATACAGGTAAACCATCCAGGTGTACCACCTGTTAACGTAAATATTCCTATTAAGTCTTCAGTTGCTGATAAAGTCTAAAAATTCGCCAAAGAAAAATGGCTTGATTTAGAAATCGATCATCTGTACACTAACCGTAGTCTCTTAGAATTAGATAGTTATAGTCTATATAAAAAACTAACATATAGATTAGACGAAAATGAATACTTATGACTTTCAGAGAGAAATGTTTCGGATGATTGAATCAAAATATATCAGAAAAATGTGTACGCTGAATAAGAAACTCAAAACCTTTAAATCTACGCATAAACCGAAAGAAACCACTCATAAATATTGTTGAAAATCATTCATCACAATCGTTTTATAAGAGATCAACCTTTTGAACAACGGTTTGAAATTTGGCATCCCGCCTTCCGAGAAAGTTCTTGAAGATATCGTTGCTAGTGTTGAAAGTTTGATTCAATATATGCCTGATTCCTCGAAGGGACTAGTTCGAGAGAAGGTCAGGAATCAAATCTCCAAGAACAAGATAACAGATAAACGGAAGCATTCAATAAACAACAATAAAAACCAAAAGAAACTTATCAAACGATTGAGAGACAAGGACGTTTTTTATTCGAAAGCCGACAAAGGTAACAAAGTAGTAATTCTGGGTAAATCGGACTACTACGAAAGGGTCAATACTCTCATTACTAACAGACCGTGTGCGAAATTGTCCAGGAACCCGTTACCAAAGATGATTGCCGAAGTAAAAGACGTTCTCAAGAAATGCGACAACATACTTACTCCTCAACAGAAACGGAAGTTACAAGTTTCCAACCCAACGGTGTCGAAACTATATTACCTCCCAAAAATCCACAAACTGGGAAAATCAATGCGCCCCATAGTGTCAGCTATTGGAGCTCCTACCTACCAAATAGCAAAGTGGCTCACTAAGGAATTTGAAACCTTGTCTATTGTGGAACCAAGTTTTAGTATAAAAAACTCTTTAGAGTTCATACAACATACAAAAAACGTGGTTCTGCAAGAAGGTGAGATTTTGGTTTCTTTCGATGTTAGTTCCTTATTTCCTAGCGTCCCAATTCAACAGACCTTGCAATACCTCAGGGGATTACTAGAGAAAAATAATTTCGATAATAACGAAATCGATGAATTCGTTTCTCTTACTAATTTGTTTATGAAACAAAATCGGTCCCAGGTAGAAGGTTGCTTTTATGAACAACAAGAAGGAACGGTTGGGAAACCCCTTGTCCCCCTACCTGGCAGACCTGTTCATGAACAGATTCGAAATGGAAACCAAAGAAAACTCGAAGTATTTTCCTAGGATTTGGCTAAGGTATGTGGATGATATTTTCGCGATATTCGATACCAAAAAATCGAATATGGAGGACTTAGTTTCCATTTTAAATAATAGATGTCCATCGATAAAATTCACGTATGAGTTAGAAAATAAAGGACAACTACCATTTCTTGACGTTTTGGTAATGAAGAGCCAATATGGAGGGTTAGAACACGATATATTTTGAAAAGAAACAAGCACGTTCAGGTATATTCCTGACAGTTCACATCACTGTGGACAGCACAAACGTGCTGGGTTGAATTTTTTAGTTTGGTATACCTGTATGGGTGGTACACCTGGATGGGATATCTATATAGCATAAATAGGGTTAGCTTCGCGTTAGTTTCTAGTTTTAATCTTCCTCTTGGAAGTTGTTCACTTGGTGATCGAAATACGTGTCGAGGTGTTGAAAATAACGATTTGGTGATGGGAAAAAACTCCAGTAATATTCATTACTACACCAAAGGTTCCAAACAGTGCATCATAAGTATTCAAGTAACGCTTTATTGTGAGATTTTCACTGAACAGTTTACAATAGCTTTTTTAAGCGTTTTCGTGGTAACTGAATTCTACTTAATTTGTGCTTTATACAAAAGGTCTTCCAACAGGGGCTTCCGAACTTTGACAATTGGTAACAGCCATATTGTTGAACGTGTATCTGTGCAAATAATGAAATTACGTCGACGAAACGTATAATCTGCCGATAACATCGCAGCTGTCTGTGAGTGTGCAGGAGAATCCGAGGCAG